GTCATCATTTTAAGTGGGGGAACTTGCACAATCGGTGGCTGACTAAATACTTTTTTGCCCCACTGTATATAAGACTGAAATGAGAGAGTACTGTCAAGTGTGACACCCAAACTCTTTATCTGCGGGGAAGGAAGGATGGAGGAATTTTCAATATTAATGGAGAAACTGTGAGATTTGGTTAAGATAGAGGCTGTGCCAATGAGTAAAACCTCTGTTTTATTATTGTTAAGTTTGAGAAAATTGGAAGAGAAACATGATCTAATCTCCATAAGACAGTTCGAGAGGGCGGTAGGTGGAAGGGATGAATTAGATTTGGAGGAAATATAGAGCTGGGTGTCATCAGCATAACAATGAAAATTGATATTATATTTTTGGAATACATGACCAAGAGGGAGCATGTAAATAATGAATAAAAGAGGCCCTAATACTGAACCCTGGGGCGCACCAGCAGAAACAGGATAGAAACTTGAAGAGTGTGATTTAAATTGGATAAACTGAGTGAGGTCTGAGAGACATGATGTGAACCAGGCAAGGGGGGTATGACTAATGCCAATGGATGCTTATCTTGTCAGGAGGATATTATGAGAAATGGTGTCAAATGCCGCACTAAGATCGAGAAGGATGAGAATGGTTAAAAGACCAGAATCAGCTGCCATCAGAAGGGCATTAGTAATCCTTAACAAAGCCGTTTCTGTACTATGATTGGGGCAGAAACTAGGATGAAATTGTTTGTAGAGATTATGGTCATTGAGGTATGAGTGAAGCTGGGAGGCAACAACTTTCTCAAGGATTTTTAAAATAAAGGGCAGGTTTAGAATAGAATAGAATAGAATAGAATAGAATAGAATAGAATAATCTTTTAATTGTCCCACAAGGGGAAATTTGGTTGTAACACCAGCCAAAAAGACACATATACAAACAAACAGTACACAGGACACGGAACAGAAACATACACATTTTTTCTTACATATTTACATTAAGGACAGTGGTCACTATAAACAGAGAGTACTGTACAGTTATTAAATTAAATAAAAATAACTACAGATAAGAGGCAAACCAGGTTGTAGTGCGAATCGGTTAATTAACTTATTGCAGTTACAGCGCAGATGTAAACATCTATGTTTGTTGGGAGCAGTTCTGATTGTAAGAGCAGGTTTGATATAGGACGAAGATTATCAAAATTATTGGGATCTGCACCAGGCTTTTTGAGAATTGGAATGAAATAAGCAGGATGAAGGAACAATTCCAGTGTTAAGGGAAGAGTGGATAATACTAGTTATGAGAGGAGCCAATGAGGGAAGACAAGCTTCAGCTAACACAGTGGGAAGAGGGTCAAACTGACAAGTGGATGATTTAGATTTTTGAATAAGATTTGATACATCAACTATGGAGGGAAGAGTAAAACTTGAAAATGACTGACAGTAAGACAGTGAGGAAAACAGAAAGTCTACTTCACAGTTAGAAGCTCCCACAGAGTTATGGTGTTGGTGGATATCAGTGATTTTATGAGTGAAAAAAATATATAATAGAGTTGCAAAAGTCAGCAGAGTCCATATGAGAGGGGAATGAGCCAGGAGGTTTTGTAATTTTACTAAACAATGAAAAGAGAGACCTGGAGTTACCTTCACTAGAACTGAATAAACCAGAATAGTATTCGGATTTGGCTGAAGCAATGCAGTACTTATAAAACAAGATATGATCGTTATACATTTCTTTGTGTAGGGTAAGTCCGGTTTTCTTGAACAGACGTTCCAGTTGGTGTCCTTTAGCTTTGAGATGGCGCAGGTTAAGAGTAAACCATGGTGCTGAACGGGAAAATGAGACAGTTTGGTGTTTAAGTGGAGCAAATATGTTAAGAAGGTTATGGAGGTTGACATTATAGTCTGAAACAAGTTCACCAGGGGATAAGAAGCTGTGAATGAATGGAAGGTCATAAATAGCAGATGAAAGATCTGCAGGGTTAATACTACTAATTTTCCTAAATGTGATGTCACAGGGAGTATAGCTTTTGGAGGCTGTTGTATTTACAATAAAAGAAATAAACATGATCAGATTGGGGAAACAAATTGGCTTTACAGTGATGTTACTTAGACTTTACATGAGTAAGAGGTTAATGTTATAGCTTCCCTAAAAATCTTATGATTGGTTGTTTTGAAGTAAATAAGTGTAAAAGACTGCAAGTGGTTGTTTAAAAGTATAAAATGGTAAAGCCATGTATGGTCTGTAGCATTTTCTGATAACATCACTCTGGCATGACTCAGCTTGGGCCTGTGTAAATGTGT